TCAGGGTGAAAGGAGAACCAGAGACAGAATCAGCCACTTCCTGATGGAGGGAGGTGCTTGCCCCTCCGTGCTCCAGCAAGATGCACGTCGGCACCAGGGCCGAAAGCGTTGAGTTAACATAGCAGTAGTTGGAGATGTTGCGCAGCGAGCGAGGAGCAGCGAGCGCGCCGTCCTTTGATTCTACTGTCCCTGACTTCGGTGGCAGGGGGCCTGCAGGCGTTGCCTGGCGAGTCTGGGGCGTTGCTCCAACAGCGGTGGTATCGTCCCGTGTGGGTGCGTTGCCTTGTGTCGTGCCAACCGCTGGCATGTACCTGCGTAACGGTCCGCCCTGGCAGCGGGAAAGTGCATGAACCAAGTCATAAAACAGAATCTGAAAAAGGATCGGACATTGTGCCGGATGCTGCCTCTTATCCGTAACAGGCTTGCGGCAGCACGGGCAAGGCATGCCCTTGACAAGGGTCAGGCCTGATTTGCTGCTCTGAGTTGCAGCTGTAGCGCCATGAGCCGCCCATTCAGGTTTGTGGGCCTGCCGGATGTGAGACTTGAGCTTGGTATTGTCCGGGGTCCAGAACCCACACAGCAAGCAATGTGACATAAGGTCCTGAGACTCATCAGATCGTCCGAGCTCCACAGCCGTGTGTGTTGTCAGAGTGTCATGCAAGCGCTGCTGCCTGGGATGCAATCTGGGCTGATGCTGCGAATCCAAGGGAGGGTGCGCCGCGTCATCCAGCTCCTGTAGCCTAGCTGGCTCCGAGCAGGCACCTGATAGCAAGTGGTCCTTTAAGCCCTTCATCTGAGGGAATTGCCTGTTGCAGGCCGCACACTTGGGGAGCCCTCCTACAGAGAGGGTGTGGGAGAAGCCTCGAGGGACATATCTGATGACCGAGCCTGGATGCTTGCGGGCCTGGTGGGTGCGAAGACCGACCTCAGTGTCGAAGGCCTGAGCACACGTTGGGCACACGAAGGACGGGGGGGCCTCCTGCTGTGATGTGTCCTTAGAAAGTTGCTGCAGAACGTCTGCATAACTAGTAGAGAGTGCCTCCGCCTGGAGAAGCGCGCGCTGGGTTAAAGAGATGTCCCCCGCAGGAGTTTTCCGCCGTCGAGCACCTAAGCGCTTGACACGATTGGCCTGTCGCGCCTGCAGCTTACGGACAGGGTCCATGATCTCATGGGAGGCGTAGAGGTCAGCCGTGGATATGTGTGTCAGGTGCGCTGGCTTGTTCAGGACAGCTCGAATTTTGCGAGCGTGCCAAGCCCGCAACAGTTTAGCTGTCTCTAGGGTCAAGCCCACATCCACCAATCCAGAGGCTACTGTGGCCCAGACAGTGCTATGCCAAATGTGCAACCGCGATGCAGGCCCCGCCGTTCGTCTGTTGTGAACGAAGCGGCGTACCTGCTGCAATTTCACATTGCCCTCCTGCAACCGGAACTTGAGAGTAGCCTTCTCGAAGTTGGAGTAGGAGAGCATGACGCCGAGATACTTAAAGGACGTCACCAGCGGAAAGCCCTCGTGAGACTTGGACTCTCCCAGTCTCCACATCTTATGGCGGGTTCCGTCAGGCGCGGTGCGCCAATAAGTGTGCTTGGAGATGGCGCGTTGCGCCTGTTGGCCCTCGAGTTTGACCATAACAGTGCATTTTGCACCGTTGACAGCAAATCCATGGCGACGGACCAACTGCAACAATTGCTCAATCAGAGCATGAGCGCGATCCAGGTCCTCCATTGAGTGGATGTCACGGTGAACCGTAAGGTCATCTGCGTAGCCCGTGAGGTAGTCCACCACGGCTCGAACCCCAACAAGAGCTATGAGCTCCCGGAAGATGGTGCCCGTAAGCATGGAAAAAAGTGTGGGGGCAAGCTTACACCCCTGTTTAATGCCCGCAGTGGACTGGACCGTGTCCTCTTCACCCTGGGTGCGAAACGTGTAAGCACTGCCAGCATGCAATGAGGCAACTAGGTCAATGAGGTCTTGCGGGACTCCCGCTTCCTGCAGTGTGCTAAGCAAGTCTGTTCTGCTCACCATGTCAAAGGCTTGTGACAAGTCTAGTGCAAAGCAGATGCCACCTACTAGCTGGGGGCGAGTTCGTCCCGAGTGAAGCTGATGCCTGGTTCGTCGGGCCTCCTGGCAGTTATTGCGTACCTGAGTGACATGACCAACGACCCTGCTCAAGGCATCTGAAAGACCGCGATGTGGCTGGTAGGCAAATTGTGGGAGACCCCGAAGATAGTCAGCCGTGTAGGGAGACAGCTGATCTCTACAAGCCCCCGCCAGGCCCTTGCCGTCTGGTCGAATGATGCCGAGGGGACGTAGATTGCCAGGCTTCGTGGCCGGCTTGTTAGGCTTTGGGATAAAACACAAGTCAGCATCCTTTAAGGGCGGCTGAAGTACCTCAGCAGCCGGCAATGGGCGTTGCCCCCGAGATTGCAGCGATGCTGCTAGCGCCTCTCCCGCAGCCGCCGAGCAGAGCCGCCAGGCAGCCGCCGGAGCAGAGCCTTGCGGTACCGCCTTGTGTGGTCTGATGGAGCCTATGTGCTTGGCCAGCAGACCAGCCGGGATTTCCGGCAGCGAGTCCACCTGGTGTGCGAGTGGCGGATGTCTGGCAAAGACCTGTTCCACGTGGTCTCTAAGCAGGCGGAGCTCAGAGGTAGAGTCCAACAGCAGACCATCCGGTCCCTGAAGCTGTGCCTTAGTTTGGGGTTCCCAAGGTCGGAGCTTCTTTAAGGTCTTATGTGCGATGTAGGAATCGTGTCTGGCACACGCCTCATCGACCTCAGCCTGGAAAGCTCGGTGTCGTTCCTTCTTGGCTAAGTAGAGAGCCTGCTTATGCCATCGATTCAGGTCCTCCAAAGACTGATCTAGGTCGGATAAGGTGGTTATGGAGTCCTCATGCAAAGAACGAATATGAGCGACTCGACTCCACATTCGCAGCGTCGCACGGTGCTGAGCAGTTTCAGGAGCTTGCTGAGGCCGTGGTTTGGGGAAAAACAGTGCAGAGGCCTCCAGCAGTACCTGATTAACTTCATCAGGCGTGTGAGTCCGAGAGGACAGACGCTGGCCCACCCAGTCTTGCATGCGACCGGCTATTGGCAGACCTGAACGGACAGCCGTCTCTAGAGCTTCCTTATGAAAGGTCGTGGAAGGACAAGTAGGCTTTGGCAGATTCCAGTGCTGGGTGGGTCTGAGTTGAGCCAAGACTGGAAGGTGGCCGCCCCTCTTCCATTTGCCGAGCTGAAGATCCTTGCACGGCCGAGACTGCTTTGCCAGGCCCTTGGCCGAGGCTTCTGAAGTGAGCAGGAAGTCAATTTGTGATCCCTGACCATTCAGGAAGAAAGTGTGACCTGCACCACTAGACCATGTGTTAAGAGCTACCAACCGATGGGAGGAGACTAAGGCTTGGAACGATTCATCCTGCATCTGAGTTTGCTCTGGCTTGGTGCTACACTGACCTACCAGACCCTCCTGCGGGGTCAGTCGAGCATTAAAGTCTCCTGCCAAGAGAAAAGTATCTCGCGCTGGAATGGCCCGTATCGCAGCCGACAGATCGCGGAGCAGGTGTGAGCGGTCATCCTTGTTCTGCTGTGGAGTCTTCTTAGAAGACCAGGCATGTTGGTAAACCGCTAGTACATGCACACGAGCCCCAAGCCACGGGAAGATGACCTGAATGAGCCTTCCCCGGCGTTGCTCGCGCCATCTTATCTTCTGCTTGTCTATCTGCGGAGAGAGAAGAACCATGACGCCGTCCGCTCGGCTTGTGTCGTGAACAGCCGGCTGCGTGGCAGCGCCTTGCTTGGGGCGTTGCCCTGAAGTGGCTTTACCTTTAGGTGCTCGAGCAGCCCCTTTTGTGGCGGAGCTTACGCAGTGCCAGCCTTCGACATCAAATTCTGCTGTCTCACTCCAGTGGGTTTCCTGAAGGACAAGAATGTCACAGACTGACTTGGCCTCCGTGCGAAGCCATGTCTTCACTTCTGCCCATTGTTGCATGCCAAGGTGCCCTGCATTCCAGGAAAGAACACGAAGAGACTTGCTGGCACGACCGCCTCTCGGGCGCGAGCGGAAACTGGCGGAGAAACCTGAGGGACCTGAAGGAGAAATCGTGGAGCTAGGCTGCACTGGGAGGGGGGGAGGGGAGGGGGGGGTGAGTCCACTGCGACGCAGATGTTCAGGCGTCAACGTACCATTCCGGTACGGGATGCTTTCTTGTGTTCTATGAACCTTATTGCAAGCCTTGCGAAAGGCCTTCTTGCGAATGCTCTCAAATGAATGCTGGTGCATTGGCGATTGCGCCGTCCGCTAGTTTCGCCGGAAAGAGAGAACTCGAACCGACTCCTTTCACCCTGCGGAAAAGGTGAAAACCACTACCGCTTACCTCATGCCAAGGTTGTATAACTGCAGACAGAGGTCCGGGAATTGGGACCCGGTAGATCACAGCGACACGCGGCTCCGGGAACAGCTATGGCTCAGTAAGAGGACGGTCCCTTAAGCTTCGCAGAAGGGGCACGTTGCGAGCCTCTAGCGTTGGTACCCAGAGCCTTGTTAGCAAAGCTACACAGCCTGCTGTGATCCATAGCGGCTACAACAACAACAACAACAATCACGACAACAACAACGACAACAACAACAACAAAACTTGTCAAATCATGCCACACGCCAATCGTAAACTGCATGGCACGGCAACAAAACTGCGCAACGTGAACGTAATAATGTCCCAAGAATCCCACGCAACTTCTTGGGAAACTTAGATATCCTTTGAAGGTTGGAGGGAGTATGTTGCTTTGGCTTGCTGCGGTTTCTTTAGAAGCCGCAAAAAAAAACACCTCAACATGAGTTTTGGAAGACAGTACTAGTACTCCTTCCAGGGGAGGTGGTTCAGCTGTTTGAGCTTGTGTGTGTGTGTTTCTTGGTCCTTCATTCCTCGCTCTTGTTGAAAAATCAAGACGAAGGGGACCGTGCTTCTTTGCGCTTATCTCGCAAGTGCCGCTTGAAAGTTTGGGCGAGTGACTGTGGATTGGCTTGCCACGCAGCAGCCTCTACAGCAGCTTGCGCAGCCGATCGTGCATCCGCCGCCATCAGCGCACGAGCAGATGCAACCACGTGCGCAGATTGACCTGTCCAATCAAGGCTTCAACCTCATCGAATAACGAAGTGCAGCTCGGTCATGCTGCCAGGATGCGTGGTCTTGAGAGGTCATCGGTGTCATGGCTGACCGTGCCTGAGATAAGGCTCGAAACATGCAGCTGGGACCTGAATCGAAGCAGGCACAGGAAGCTTCGGTGCATAGATTGCCAGGTAAACTACTTTGAAGACGACACGGAGGTGATGCTTACCCGTTCACTGTGAAGCGCACCCGGGAACAACAGTTCTCCTCGAATTACCGCCACTAAATAGTTCTCAAACTTAAGGAAACGACATGGACTAGTCTTCCGCACATCAGTACCCAGCCTGAGGCACTGCCCAGTAGTGTGGCTTCTATCCGGTCCTCCGATCAAACAATGACCGATACCGGTGAGAATGCAGTGACGGGTCTTACTTGCAGAGATCAGAGAACTGTGGCTGCAAGGCAGAGCAATCTTTCCTGTATGTCGCACATCACACAGGAAGTTCTGTCATTCAGCGCTGCAGCGCCGCACTCAAGGATCATCACAGACCATGCATTAATGTCCCGCCCAGGCATTGGACACAGCGATTCGATATGTTTGACAAGCCGCGCTAAGAATTAATTACTCTTACAAGGTTGTTTCAAGCCACGCTGATTTCCAACAACCCAAGACTAAAATTTCACGCCTACACGCCAGCAGAATCCGATCGTGCACGCTGCCATCTGCAGGATGAGCACGATTCCGGTTCCGAACCGTCCTGAACCGAACCGACCCGAACCGTGACAGATCACTGTTCCAGAAGCTTGACAGTCCTGATGCAGAAGCCTTCCTAGCACGACTCACCTTAGCACGCGACATTTTACAAGCTCCCCTTCCTACAGCCAGGCAATGACCGAATAGACCAGCAGAAACTGCTCAAAGTGGTCGTCCATTTTGCCACGGTCGCTCCCCTTCCCACAGCCAGCCAAGGACCCAATAGACTACCAGTATTTGCTTTGCGCTACCCAGCAGATCTACGACGCTGCTGGAAATGAGCTTGCTGTGCTTGCACGGAACTGACATGGCTTGGCATCTTACTCGGACACAGGCCCCTTCTCCAGCATGGAATCTCAAAGCACCCTGCCCCGTTTGATTCCGCTCAAGAAATAGCCAGGACGCTTTGGTGCCCTTCACATTGAAGAAGCAACGCATGCCGACAGACGCCAACACCATCAACAACACAACATTTGCTGGAACCGTTCAGTGACAGCGCCGGTCACTCTCAATCTCCTGAATCCCTTTTGGAGTTGCTGGTACAACAAGCGCAGCTTCTGCTGGCGATCTGAGCACCCCTTTCACCTGTCTACTGCCTTGGTCTGACTCCTTCGCACTCTTCTGACCCATCTGAGCGAGGCGCATGCAGCACTTGTACTGACAATCCCATCTCGTGGAGTCTTCGTCGTTTGTTCTCTTGTGATCTCTTGTGTCGCTGCGCCTGCTTCTCTCAGCATCGAAGCCTCTCTTCCATGACGGGACTACAGAGCAACACAATATGCTCTACAAACAACAGGGTACGCTATTTCCTGACACTAGTCCTACCTGCCCATAGCTTCTCAGCAACACGATGGGCACCATTTCTTAACTGTTCCTGGACTTGACGCGGTCATCCAGGGGGATTGCAACGAAGAGGCAATTTTGCCACCAGTACCGATGAGACAGACGCAGGCATTCTCACGGGCAGCATAAGTGCGGAAAACGCACCCTTCGCGCATGGTTTCGGCAGCACCTAGGACCTAAGGTCTCAGTGCCTCAGTGTCAAACGGATGCTGCGCGAAGCCTTGTATCCTCGCACTGGCGGTGTTTCCTCTTTCATTTCCTTCGGACTCTCGGGGCCCGAACCAAGAGGCCATGCTGCTGCGGGAAGCAGGGGTTTGAATTATTCCCCACCAGACTCATCTCTGTTCACTACCCAGGCTACAACCATGACTCTAGAGTTTCAGGTGTGCAAGTGAGAACAAGGGTTGCCGACTCTGCTTGCAGGAGGTCCTCCGCTTTGTGCAGCTGGCCTGGTATCCTCCCAGCACCGTCCTCCTGAGTCATCGAAGCATTGCCGACTTTTGTGTCCTTGGACATGCAAGTATGACGGTGTCAAAGGCTTATATTCCGTTCGTGCAGACGTTCAATACTCTGTCCTGGCTGCCCGCCAACTGCTCGGCAACTGCATCGCTGGTGGCCTTCGACGAGTTCTCGGGCCCGGAGCTGCGCTCCGGGAGGGGCAAGGCCGTGAGATAGCTCTCCTGAGTCTCCTTCGGCTCCGCGACAGCACTCTCTGCATGCTCTTCGGATACCAGATCATACTCCTGCATCCTTCTCACAGGGCAAATAATCTGATGTTATCCACATCGGCAGAAGCTTCGCCAATCCAGCGACGCTGCATGGCTGGCAGAACTATTTCGTACGTGTCGTCAAGACCCCGTTCTGGCACCATTATCCTGTAACTTAGTCGATTGTGTACTTGCCGCCGCAGACAAAATCTGAGGCCTGCATATACATGTACAAAGACATATTCAATATTCATCCTCATGTGTATATACATATACTCACATACACACATACACACATACACACATACACACATACACACATACACACATACACACATACACATACACACATATACATATACGTACTTACGGACATACCTTACCAACGCATATACATCACCACAGCGATGGTGCCAATCTAAGTGTACGGCTTTAGGGCTAAAAGGCCTCGGGCTTCAAAATGTGCAGGCCGGGTCTGTTGGGGTATCGGTAGGGTCTCGGTTGGCCACACAAAAAAGATCCTGGCCAGAACCTCGTTTTGAGAACACAAACTCGAGTCCTGTGGCCTACTGCGTACGGTGTGCTGATTACGGCTTGTCCGGACGATACACCGCTCTGGCGACTGGCACGCTTGCAAACACAGGCTAAGTACAGGGCAGCATCTCTCGAGACTGCCAAACAAGATGCAAGAGCGCAAAACAAGTCATTACCTACCTATAGCTACTGGTATTTCAGAGACTCGGTTTTTGCGATGATTTGCTGCTTCGGGCTTTTCACAGTTTCAACAGCGTTTTCCCGGAGTTTAAGCATCTGCTTCTTCGATGTCTCAGGGCAACCGTAACAAAGTACACTTCGACCACAACTGTTCCGGCACAGCATCCATCTCTTCTTGCAGAGCATCCATGATCCGTTCCCGCAGAGCATCCATGCCCCAATCGTAATAACGTCCACTCCGATCCCATCCGATTACCGAAGTAAACATACCAAAACGGTAACCGTAATAACGTCTACTCCGACCCCATCCGACTACCAGAGCATCCATGCCCGAACTGTGGTAACGTCTGCTCCGACCCCATCCGGAGCGTCTATGCCCGAACGGTAGGAACGTCTACTCCGACCCCATGCGATTACCAGAGCATCCATGCCCAAACCGCATAGTAACGTCCTCCGACCCCATCCGATTACCAGGGCATAACGGCTCGAACCGCAATAGCGCGCAAGGCTTCGAAAGCTCATTCGCTTCTGCGTCGCGGGGGACAGCGCAGAGAAAAAGGATCATCGCGCCAAACTACTTGCGAGTTGTCAGCAGCCCTTTTCTAGCCATGAACGTCCCTTACCTGCGAAGGCATCGCCCCTGCCAAAGTTTCCAACATGTGAACATTAGCGGAAGTGCCTCCCGCGAGACTTCAGAAAGCACCATGAAGTACCAGAAAAGACAAAGCCCGTCAAGAGGTTGGGTCGCGCACTGCTGGAAATTTTCTGCGGATCAGATCAAGCAGTCGCTGATGATTCCAACATACAGAACGACAACAGACACGCTCAACAACCCTGAAGACCCCGAATATCAGCAGACAAGTTTGCATCCACAGCGAGCGCATACTGCCAAAATTGTTGACTTGGAAAGAAGAGCGTACCATGTTAAAGTTCAGCTCCAACACTATATCGTGGCCCTGCTCTTCGGCCCTTGTCGCTTCTGGCTCATATTCACACACGATTTACATGCGCACTGCTGCTGAGCTTCCTCGTCTGGAGTGTCATCTATGGTGCACTGAGCCTCTGTTGCATGTCTTACGCAATTACATACATACATTCATAATACATTCATACAATCATACATCCATTCATTCGTTCACACATACATACGTACAAACATACACGTATACATACATTCATAAATACGTTCGTTCCTTCATACGACACACATACGACATACCTGCACGCAAAATAATATACATGCATGCAAACATACATACATTGGGAAACCAAGTCAGAGTCGTTCAAGATCACTGTTCGATGCTTGTGTGTAGTTATGTTTGTTACAAGTCCGTATCTACGCAATTATCTCCAATCATGATTGGCAAGTTGAAGCTTGTTAGTGCAGCACGGCACGCTGATGCACTTTGCAGGTCGGATTGAGTCCCAGGAACACTACGGCACAGCCTCAAGATTTTCTGTGATGAAGTGGCTGTGCCTCAGGACTCTCATCAGCCTTGCACGTAACCAGAAGCCTGGAGAACAAAACATTGCTAACATCTCTCATGGGCTTTCTGCTGCTACGGATGAGTCAGCACCAGTTTTCTCTTTAATGATATCCACGACGCGATTAATAAAAAGCAGATGCTTTACAAATCTGAAAACCTACTGGGCAAGAAACTAATCAAAAGGACCCTTTTTTGACTTTCAAGCACGCTCGAAGACTTGGAGAGCATTGTAGACACCTGGCAACCAGAGCTTTCTGCGCATGTGGACGTCAAGTTGAAGACAAGGACCTCCCAAAGCCGAGTATTGGCATGCAATGCAGTGGCAGGGGCCCGCTTCTTTCGTGCGTCGAGTGCAGCATTATCCGTCCGACAGGCGCTACAGATCACAACAGCCTACAGGGCCTACAGCCTGCAGCCACAGCAAAACACCACTTGGACGACTTCGCCACCCTCTGAAGTGCCACTGTCAGAATTGAAGATTTCCAAGCCAAACAGACAAGATGAATCGTTCGAATTGACCGACCCCTGCGGCCCTGCAGGCACGGCAAGGCTTCCACACCTCGACAAAGTTGCCGCATCCGGGAATGGCCACGACGGAACTATCGCGGAGGGCATGGCCAGCTTTGTGGCCACGTTTACGCGTCTCCGTCACTGGTGCTTCCTGGCACGCGAAGCATGTATCGCCACACACGCATCTATTGACCGTTGAGGGCCGGGCCATCGTCACCAGGAGAACGCAACACCTGGCAGAAGCATCCTTGCAAGGCATTGCCTGCATGGTGCGAGTCAAGTCAGCATACGTACATGCTCACCTCCCACTCGAACTCGAAGCGCTCGTACCATGCCTCCTTCGTGGCAACAGGTGGCAATGACGATGTAACGAGAGGTCGAAATGCAACGTGCGGCCTCCTGATCCTGCATCGCCTCTTGAAGAGCCTTCGAGTGAGGTAGCAAAAGACTACATCATCAGAGTTTCAGCCGTCCAAGGCCTCACGACACAGCTGAAATTCCTCTTGCACACGAATTGTATCGGTAGAGCCAGGCCTGTCCAATGTCGCAGATTGCAGTACACTCAGCAACACTCGAGAGGTTCGAATCTAGCATCGAGAACTTTGGTGAGTTTGGTGACAGGGCTGACCCAGTCGCACTGAAACAGCGCAGCCTGAGGCCAAGCGGGGACACAACCACTGCAACTACTCTAGTGACCTCTTATGCGTGCACCGCGGCATTCGTGACTGCGAAAAGCGTTGATTCTGTCGCAAACAAACAACAATCCCGAAAGCCTGAACGGATTTTCCAGGGCAACGGCCTGATCCAGACAGCTCGCTGCAAAGTCAAGAACAGACTCTTGATTCTGAATGCCAAGACTGACAGACAAATGCCATCCAAGATACGACGTTGAGAAGTGCAACAAGCGTAGTTGAGGTCAAACCTGGAAACTGAAACAGTTTTGTGCGATGTGGTTGCAAAGCAGGAACCATGCCAGGCTGACAAGAAAATAAACAAGCAAAAATGAAACGGTGCCGCAAGATTGAATCCGTCACGTCAGAGTCTGGACCTCAGCTTGACAAGTCACGGGAAAGCATTCATGTGCAACCAACACTAAGACCTGCGCTGTAGGTCTTAATAAGATGCAAATAATATGGCCTCGCAATCGGTCAATCTTCGCACTTCAGTCCCATTTACCACCCTACCACGAAAAAGTCGGAAGCCGAGCGGTTGCCGGCAAAAGTACAGCACGGGGTTGCAGCTTAGGTGCCCGAAGAAAAAGGGAAACACTTGAATGCTTACCTCGTAGCGTCGTAGCATGCCAGGAAAGAGTCACGTCGGAGAATGTAAAACATCGAGCTGATGAACACTGAGACGAGAGCACGGCAGACTGATCGGAGTGTCGTCGGGGTGCGGTATGTTTTGAAACCTCATGGGCAGATCTGCTGCATGCACTGCGTGGACTGGAAACATAGGAGCCATAAGGCCAGGGCTCCATAATCGCTCGAAGTCCCGACACAAGAACATGTTGTACTGATTGATCCGGCTGGCCTGTACATGAAGGCAGGTGCTTTGGCAAAAGGCTACTTTCAGAGACAAGGCAACCGACAGGGACACGTCTTTCAGTGACCCTGACTGCCAAGGGCAAGGCCTCATTTGCAGGCATGCCTGCGGCCTTTAGCTCCTGTCACGAGATCCACACTGCGTCCATGCATGGGAGATACTTTCAGCACGGATTCTCACCTCCGTCGCTCTATGGAGGCGGCCGAGCAACTTCAACCTAAAGGGGGGAAGGGAGGTGTCAACTTGTCAACGTGAAGCTGTCAACTAAAGGGCCCCCGCACTGCAGAGCGACCCTTCAGCTCGGCGTCCTTCCATGGAACGCTGAACAGATGCATGCATCACGGAAGTTTGGACTGGCCAGCGATTATGAAAGAAAGGACAGATGCTCACCCAAGAAATAGTACATAACTAGGAACAGGAACGCCGTTCAACCAATGCTGTTTGGCACGCATGTTTTTGGACGGCACTGCCTTCTTTTTGCTCCAGTTGCCGCAGTCACGCTGCTCAATACTGACATCAGCAATCAGCAGCTATACATGGAATACATGTCACGCATGTATACGCATGCTGTAAACCGTCAATCTGCAAAGTTTCCCAAGACATATGCTATCGACGTTTAGGGCAACGCCGAAAAGGCTAGCACGAGACGACGGATACCCTTCTTTTGTATGGGAAGAAAGCGCATCGCGCCGGGTCCGTCGCCTCCGCCCAAAACTAGGCTGGCCGGCGCCGGGGAAGCTTTGAGCTACCCGACGCGCCGCCCGTGGGCGGGGGACGACCCTTCAAGTCTTTTAGCAAACGGCTTCGCCGATACTGGGGAGGCCTCCTCCCCACTCCCCAACACGAGGGTGGTAGAGGGTGGGCCGAAAAAGCGATGTCGAGCCGGGACAGCTGCCGGCACGACGAATCGCTCATGTCCATGCGCACACACGTGTGCTACACGACATATGCTATCGACGTTTAGGGCAACGCCGAAAAGGCTAGCACGAGACGACGGATACCCTTCTTTTGTATGGGAAGAAAGCGCATCGCGCCGGGTCCGTCGCCTCCGCCCAAAACTAGGCTGGCCGGCGCCGGGGAAGCTTTGAGCTACCCGCCCGGCGCTCCCCACCCCCACACAGCGCCGGCACAGCCGAACTACCGGAAAACTCAAATAGCGCAAGCTCTCAGCTCCGCCGATGCTCCGTGGATGGCGAACTCGAGGTCGCCAGCAGTCTTGGCCAGGATGGCGCAGATTCTGGCCGCCGGTGTGCGTACTCTGGTCCAGCCCATCGCCTCTGCCGTAGCCAGGTCGCCGCGGGACACCGCATCCGCCACATTGGCCTTCGAAGGTACCCGCCGGAAGTCAGGCAGCCAGTCCATTTCGGCTGCTTGGGACCAGAACGCCGCCAGGACGCCGTTGACCGCGGGGTCCCTCCCGTAGCCCTTGGTGAGGGCCCACTGGCCGGCGACGTTATCAATGAACGCCAGCCAGCGTTCCGGTAACCGCCGCGCCAGCGTTGTCAACGCCAGGACCTGGGCGACGATCTCGAGCACATAGATGAAAGCCCGCCTGGAGCCGAACGCCACCAGGAAGGAGGATGGCGCCTGGCCGTAGTCATAGTAGGTCTCGCCGCCGACTCTGACCACGTATCCCCAGCCGTTCTTGCCGCGTGCCCCCTTTGGTGTGGGCAGGTCCGCCGGCAAGAAGCCCGCCTTGTGCTTGACCTCGCCTGGCTGGAAAAACGCGTCCGCGTACACCAGGGCCTGCGGGGCGCCGTCGTCGACGAACGGCACAAACCGGGGCCGGATGTTCTTGAGCAGCTGCCGAAGCGCCCGGAGGGCCGCCGCCAACCCCAACGACAGTTCTGGGGATGACTCCGCCGCCGCGTCGTGGGCTCTGGCGTAAAGCGGCTTCAACGCCGCCTTGCCGAGGCAGCCGAAGGTGGACTGGGACGCGAAGCTCAGCTTGCCCGCCAGCTTCTGCGCCGCGTGCGGCTGAAGGGCATTCGTCTCCAGCGCCGCCTCGATGGCCCGGAGGAGCTTGGCCACCCTAGAGGGGGTGGGTCGCAGGGATACGCCGTCCGCCTCGATCGTCATTTCCACTCCTTGGACCACGTGCCGGGCCGCCGGCTCCTGGGCCTTCGACGGCTTGGTCTGCAGGCCGAGCTCCAGGAAGAGGTCCGCCAGGGAGTGGAAGGCCGACTCCGCGAGCTCCGGAAGGTCGACGCCGTTAAAGTCGTCCACGAAATGGCCGCCGACCAGCCACAGCAGGACGCGGGTCAGCGCCTGCATCGCGTCCGCGGCCCTGTTAAAATTCCAAACCGACGCCGCGGCTCCAAAACACATGGCCAGGTGAAACCAGAGTGTCAGCCCGGCCGGTGTCGCCAGGAACGTGCCGGAGTGGGCCGGGTGCCGGACTGCCCACTGCCGGTAGGCATTGAGCAGGTCGTGCCCGAACAGCCTGGCCGCCGGGACCCCACGATTCCCTGCCAGTTCCACCACGCGCCGGATGAAGTCCACCACGTCATCCACGAAATGGTGGGTGGGGACGTCCCGCGCCAGGACCGTGGAGTTGTGGCCCGAGCGCCGCCAGTCCTCCCCTCGACGCACTTTCGTGTTCCCCTCGCCGTCCTCCTGCACGATGGCGAAGGACGCCGCGGCGAAATGGCGGCCAGGGGGCGGCGGCACCAGCCGGTCGGCGCCGGGCGTGTTCAGCACCGGCACGGTGACAATGTTCCATCCAGCCGGCGGGGCCGCCGGACCAACCACCCTGCCAAGCCGGGCCTCCGCCACAAGTTCCGTGAGGAGGGTCTCCCAGTGCTTGCCGGGCTGCGCCGCCGAGGCTCGCTTCCGGACATATTCCCAGTTGGTCGCCGCCAGCTGGTCCAGGGACACCGGGTTCTGGTAACGGCCGTCCGTCCGCTCCTTCCAGCCGGGGCCACGCCGCACCTCGCCGAGCATGTCGAAGCCCTGGGTGAGGTCCGCCGTGAGGCCTTCGATGTCGGGGTAGCCGAGGAGTTGCAAGAGGACTAGGCCGGTCCTTGTCCGCCGTGGAGTAGGTGTTGCGCACCGGAGCCGGGCGCTGGGCCAGCCAGGCCGCCGTCTCCTCCACGCGGTCCGCCACCATGTCTCTGATCTCCTGCAGCACCTCGCCGCGGATCCTGACCACGTCGTGGCGCCAGGCAGCCGCGAGCCCCAAGACGCGTTCTACCGCCGGCTCCAGGTCCGGCCGCCGAGTGACCGTGCAATGGCTCAGTTGAAGTGCCAGCCGCCAGTGCTCGTCGGGGTCGTCCTCCGGCAAGTCGAGCCGCGACGCCAGGCGAGGCGGGGGGCTCATGTCCAGGGGGCCGGCGCCGAACTGTGAGGCCATCCACGCCACCGTGGTGGTCCTCGGTGCGACCGGCACCGACGCCTCCGCCGGCTGTGCCACCGTAAAGGCCATGAGCATTGCCAAGAGGCGCCGGGCCACTCCCCAGTGCCACCCGTTGGCCACCATCCTATGCCGGGTCCTGTCATCTCCGTCGCCGAGGTCCGTGTACGCCCCCGGTATGTGGTGGAGAGCCTCCTTAACGCCGACGGGGATGTTGTGGAGCCGGCCGGCCTCGTCGTGGATCATCGCCTCCTCTGTGTAATGCCAGGGGGCGAACTGCCGGGAGTCCGCCAGCCACCTGGCTCTCGCCGGCTCCGGGATCTTGCCCCGAGCTCTCTTCGGCGCCGGGCGGCCGTTCTCGTCCTCCGCCGGCGTGGTGGCGCATGGCAGGAGCAACCTGCTCGACGCCACCGCCGGGTGAAAGGCCATGCCCACCGGTAGCAGAGTGCTAGCCGCCGCCCTGGCTTCCTCCAGCCGGAGACGGTGGAACGGCCCCTTCTTGGTCCAGACCAGGGGGGCGCCGGTGGCCGGGTCCTCCGTGTGCTGCCGGAGGTCCGCCGAGAGCCACCAGAGTCTCGGCCTCGAGATCCACCCGAAATCGGAGGCGCACACCAGCGCCGGTTCCACCCCAAGGCAGTCGGATACCTCCTTGGCCGACGCCGGCTGCATGACAACATTCTCGAACATGAAGCCGACCCGCCAGCCGCGGAGCGCCGCCCTCAGCTCCAGGACGAACTCCGCCGAGCGCAAGAACAGGCTGCCGCGGGCGCCACTGTGGCCCGCCTCCGCGCCGATTTGGGAGAAATCTTGGCAGGGGGGCGCCGCGACGAGGAGGATCACACACTCGCCGGCCGGGTCAAGGCGCTTGACTTCCGCCGCCACCTTCTCCACCGAGTCCGTGAAATCACCCCTCTGCCGGAGCCAGGGCAGCCGGGTGGATGTCAATCGCCGGCAAGTCTTGTCTGTCTCCCACGCCATGGCCGCCCACGGTGTGCCGAAGAGGTCCTCGAGGATGGCCGGCGCCGCCCCGACGCCGTCAAAGAGGGAGAGCGGGATGTGCTTGCCATCCCGGCGCGCCGGCCTGGCCGGCTTCAGCACCACCGCCTGTGCTGCCGGGCTCCGGTCGGGTACCCCACCCGAGGCCGAAGCGCCGGGCGGGGCCCCGTGCTGTCCCTAGCGCCTGTGCTTCTGCGGGCGGTCGCCGTCCTGCGACTGGGAGTCTCTCTTCCCGCCGCGGTCCTGCCACGACTGGGCCCGGTCGGCATTGGCCCACCGCCGATCGTCATGCCAGTCCTGGCGGCCGGGCTGCTGGTTGGAGTCGCCGCGAGGGCGCCAGTTCTGCCGCCAGCCACCACCGCCGCCACCGCGGCTGTCCGAGCCACCCTCGTCGCCGCGGTGCTGGTGCTGCTGTTGCGCCTGGCGGGGGTTGTTGCGGCGCCGCCTGTTCTTCTTCACCTTCTGTGGCGCGGGCCCGGGCTGGTATCCTTGGTGCGCCGCGGCGCCTGGCGGGCCGTCCGTCTCCGGGTCCGGCGGGTTGAAGCCCTCGCTGACCTTGTTCCTCGCCGGGGGCCGCGGGCGGGAGAGGACATCCAGGAACGCCGCCTGGTCCTTCATGATCTCCGCCGTGACCTCCTCGAACGTCCGGCGAAGGCGCATCTGCATGGCCAAGCGCCGGGAGGACGCGTCCCAGTACTCCGTGATCGCCTCGAGCTGGGACGGGCGCTGCCGGGCCTTCGACGTCCACCACTGGGCGTACTCCGCCGCCCCCTTCTCCGTGGCCACGCCGGTCTCGATGCCGTCGATGACGCCGAGGACCCCCCTCGGGGTCCAGGGGTCCTCCCGGTCATGGACCAGTGCGCCGTCCACCAGCCGGATCGCCTGGCCCCTCTCCTTGTGGCGCCGGATCGCCAGCGGATTCACCTCCATGGCCGCCGTGAAGGTGCGCCGCTGCAAGAT